ACTTAATGAACTCCTACAAGAAGGTATGGTCATCATGCACATGCATGCACGTGCGCTTTGCTCTGATTGGCTGAAACAAAAATCTCAGTATCTTTTCTGTTTTTTGACGAAATGCGATGAAATTTAAAACATAGGCATACTTTAGGATGTCCTACAATAGGATATATAACAATTATCATGAAAACACGCGCATGCACGTGCGCAGCAATCTGACTGGCTTAAACTTTAAATGGTTATAACTCCCTTGTTTTTCTACCAAACAGGATGGGATTTAGAATATAGATAGACAAAATGAACTCCTACAAGAAGGTATGGTCATCATGCACATGCTTGCACGTACGTGCACGTGAAATGAGTAAAATTAAAAGTACGCTTAAATGAGTGTATTTTTTTAATACTTCTGGATTAAATGCTTTGATATTAAGTATATTAAAATATATAGATATTGTACACAAGATGAAATGGTCATTACGCACATACATTCACATGAGCACGTGTGCAATGCTAAGATTTAAATATATTTTGTATTCTTCTTGGAAAACGTTGTTTAAGTCTAAATTGCATAAAGTATGTCTTATTTAATAGAGCTTACAGGGAATATGGCACCAAAAGGGAGTTGGGGAGCGTTTGGGGAACATCTGTAACGGTCCCCGTTACAATTAGCCCTAGTTTCTTCTCCGGTACTTTTTTGTCCGGAAGTGTTCTCAGAAACTGTTCACCAAACTAAGTTAAAACCTTTTTAGGGTTAATAGGTGTGTTGTGTAGATGTGCTGAACGAAGGTCATTTTGCGCGCATACGCATGCACGTGCGTGCGCGTGAAATGAGTGAATTGACTGATATAATTAATATAGATATTACTTTTACATTTTTCAATGAAATGATTTGAAACTCATTATATAAAGATATATTAATACTGTAGATAATGTGACACTGTCAAATTAGCACGAACTCATGCGCATGCACGTGCGCTTCGCTCTGATTGGCTGAAACAAAAATCTCAATATATTTTCTGTTTTTTGACGAAATGCTATGAAATTTGAAATATAGGTATACTTTAGTATGTCCTACAATAAGATATATAACAATTTTGATGTAAACACGTGCATGCACGTGCGCTGCAATCTGATTGGCTTAAACTTGAAATGGCTATAACTCTCTTGTTTTTCAACCAAACATTATGGGATTTAGAACATAGACAGACATAATGGACTCCTACAAGGAGGTATGGCCCTCATGCACGTGCATGCAGGTGTGCCTTGCTGTGGTTGGCTGAAACAAAAATCGCAATATCATTTTTAATTTTTGACGAAATGCTTTGAAATTTTAAACATAGTCATGCATTAGGATGTCCTACAATATGATATATAACAGTTGTCGTGAAAACATGCGCATGCACGTGCGCTGCAATCTGATTGGCTTAAACTTTAAATGGCTATAACTCCCTTGTTTTTCAACCAAACAGGATGGGATTTAGAACATAGAAAGACATGATAGACTCCAACAAGATGGTATGGTCGTCATGCACGTGCGTGCACGTGTTCTTCACTCAGATTGGCTGAAACAAAAATATCAATATCTTTTCCGTTTTTTGACGAAATGCTACGAAATTTAAAACATAAGCATACAATAGGATGTCCTACAATATGATATATAACAATTGTCATTAAATCACACGCATGCACGTGCGCTGAAATCTGATTGGCTTAACTTTAAATGGTTATAACTCCATTGGTTTTCAACGAAATAGGATGGTTTTTAGAATATTGATAGACATAATGGACCCCTACAAAAAGGTATGGTCATCATGCACATGCTTGCACGTGCGTGTACGTGAAATGAGTAAAATTTAAATAATGCTTGAATAAGTGACTTTTTTAATACTTCTGGATTTAATGCTGTGATATTAAGTCTATTTGAATATATATACATAGTGTAGAAAAGATGATATGATCATTACCCACATGCATTCACATGAGCTCGCATGTAATGCAAAAATTTAAATATATTTTGTAGTCTTCTGGGAAAACGTTGTTTAAGTCTAAATTGCACAAAGTATGTCTTATTTAATAGAGCTTAAGGAAATATGGCACCAAAAGGGAGTTGGGGAGCGTTTGGGGAACATCTGTAACGGTCCCCGTTACAATTAGCCCTAGTTTACCTAGACATACTTCTTGGACCATTGGTGCTACAGTTATCTTATTTCTCATGTATTGTCGTTTTCCCTGTGAAAAGATCCTTTACAATTTTAATTTTTGACTTTTTAACCAAGACCTTAAATGGAACCTACGGTAACAAGCAAATTCAAAGAATTGTGGTCCCCCGCTTTCAGTGTCTTTGTGGGTAATATGTCATTATTTATATTGTGTCAAATATGATGAACGCCCTTTCATTTGCCATTCAAGAGTTATCACCAAAGTTTTTTTTTGGAGGGGGGGGGGTGGAAAAAAAATAGGTCAAACATGAAGGTCAAGAAGTCAGAAATCATAGCATGCTCGGAAATATCTTGCCACAGGTAATGCACATGTCAAACAAATATGAAAGCCCTATCCCTTCTAAATCAAAAGTCATTAGGAACATTTCTGAAAAGTATGTTTAACTTCAAGGTCCAGAGGTCAAAATTCATAGTTAAGAAAGGACTTTCATTGGTAATAGGTCAAATGTCAAGATCAAGGCAAGGGGATGAAAAATTGTAGTGTATTTAGAAAGGTCTTGTCACGAGTAGAAAACACATGTGTAACATGAAAGTCATATCTCTTCCCATTCAAAAGATATGCCCAAGGTATAAGTTTTTGTGTCAGACGGATAGACCTGGCAGAAGACTAACAGACTGACAGACGAATGAGATTTAATGTCCCCTCACTTTCACGAAACGGAGGACAAAAAAGGACTTGTAAATCACATCCTAATTGTATCGTAAAGACTAGATTTACCGCTTGCCCGTTTGTTAAGTTTTTTTCGTTTGTGGTGTTTTTATGTACGTTTGTTCTGCAAAGATGATCGTTCGCTTTGCATTCACATTCATATAAATATGTTTGTTATGTACGCAGTTGTTGGTTTTGCTTTACTGTGTACTTGTTGTGCGTAAAGATCTGTTGATTATGCATTGTATATCATTTTTAAGCTCAAATGAGTTTTTCTGATCACCCGGGGTCCGCCGTTCGTCTGTCTGTCTGTCCACCTGTAAACTTTTCATATTTTCAACTTTCTCTCAAGAATCACTGCATGGGTCAATTTTAACCAAAACTGGTACCAAGAATCCCTGGGTAAAGGAAATTTCTAATTTTATATTAAAGGACTAAGCCCTCTTCCCAGGGTATATGTAATCAAGAAAATGCAAAAATAGGGCGGTGTCATTAAAAAAAATTCCTTTATAGAACCAACGGGTAAGAAAAGATGAAACGTTAATATGTGAAAGCTTCCCGAGGAAGTATAGATTCTAAATCGGTCTATTCATGGTCTGCAGTGCTACCATGGGGACACAATAGGGAGTAAACGTTTCACAATGAAATATATAGTAGAAATCTTAAAATCTTCTTAGGAACCACTTGGCAAGAAAAGATGAAACTTATGCAGAAGAATCCTGGGGTAGTATAAATTCTAAATTGTTGAACTCATTCCCTAAGGGATAGACTGCGGCCCAAAACAAGAACTTAGTTTTACAATGAAATACGATATGGGAATATACTTAACAAGAACAACTGCACGGGCCATATAAGATGAAACCTGTAGAAGTATCCTTGGGCCGTGTAGTTCCTAAATAAGTGTTGATATCATGGGGTAGTGCGGGGCCATAAAGGGGGGCCCGGGGTCTGGTGAAGAACAACAGGGCCAAAGTAACTAAGGCGAACATTGTGGCCCATGGACATCTTCTTTACTTATAATTCGCAAGTTGTCATCGTTTTCCAAATGATTGACAATGCTAAATTGATCACAAATCTCTTTGCACATGTACAAGAACTTCCTTGTGTATCACTACTTTTCATATATTGTAATTTACATGATAATTTTGAATTTCTTTGATAATTTTGAAAAAAGGTGAAACAGATTTGGGATGAAAGGAAATACGTCTTTTAGCGTTGGTAGAGAGATTTCTTAATTTTTTTGGTTGAGTTAAATATCCAGAAAGCAATATTAACTGTATCATACACACCGACTTTATTTTATTTATCTGACAATATTTTATAACATATTTTGGCTCACCTGAACCTAAGTCTTACGTGAGTTTTCTAACCTAAACTTTATCCGTTGTTTGTTGTTATCATCGTAAACTTTTCTCATTTTCATATTCTTCAGGCTTCATCGAAACTTGACAGAGAGTATTCATGGGTAAAGAGGATTCAAATTTGTTCAAATGAAGATCGTATACCCTCTTGAGAATGAAGTAAATATTGGGTGGGATCATTAAAAAAACCTTCGCAGCTATAAATAAATGATAAAACTTATGTGAAAGCTTCCTGATATAAAGTGGATATTGTTCATATAATGATCCCTAAGGGTAGGGTGGGGCTACAATAAGCGACCAAAATTTTAGGAAAACATGGGGAAAAAGAACATTAACAGATATTAATAACATAAAAGCATTCTTGGCTAATGTCTCGTAGATTCAAATTTGTTCAAGTTTAGAGTTAACTCACTTTTGAATGATTTTTATTAAGCTGATAGTCCGGCAGGAAACAATTTCATTTTACTATAGTATTTCTTCTTTTTTTTGCGCAATCAAACATTTTTAAGTGAACGGGGCTACCAAGCAAAAATTCCTTGACAATTAAGAACAAAATAAATCACCCTCAGTTCTTAAGGCTTTGTCACTTCATTCATCAGTCGCATTCTTAATTGTATCTCTTTTCAAACATGATGGTCATGTTCATTCCGAGTTTTTCTACATATACACTGTACACATGTAACTGTTGTTGAACTACATACTAAATACACCTCTGTACCTTAATTTGATTATATGAAATTATAAATAATTAACACTTGATTCTGTAAATAACTGACATTTATTACATTTATATAACAATTTTTTCAGTTTTCCTCCAAACTATTCCTCTGTCCTTCCATCAAGCTTTTGTTTGTTTTCACCAAATGGATTTTTTAGCACCCTAAAACAAATTTAATACATGTACACTAAGTTAAGATAAAAAATAACCCATGAAGATTAAATAATTTGATCCACAAGCAAAATAAACATAACATTTGGTTTTAAGGTCGTTGAGCATAAATTTTACCTTAAAATAGTCAACACCAAAGAAGAATAGCTTTCTAGGACCAAACAGGCCATCATCATCATCATCATCATCATCGTAATCATCTTCATGTTCATTATCATTGTTAATGTGTTCATCAGCAATGTCCTCCTTCAAAAGCTGGGAAATGTAGAAATGTAGAATTGGCACATTGTTATTACATACACATGTACATATGGTGTAAGGATTTCACACAACAAATATACTTGTATTTTAAAAAATCTGGGAAAAGATAGCAAAGAAATATTCAATTTAGAGAGGCACATCTTAAAATTTCCTTCTGCTTGAATTTATAGATTAAAGAAATAACTATATAAATTTTGAAAATTTTTATGTAATACCTCATTCAATAATGATTTCTCTGTAATGATTGGAGTATCTTGATTCCTTGACACCTCTAGACATTCTGGATCTGTTGATAATCCAAGGTTTGGTGATTTCTTTTTCTCTGTGATAAGCTGGGCTGACTTTTCCTCTGTGATACGCTCAGCTGACTTTTCCTCTGTGATAAGCTGGGCTGACTTTTCCTCTGTGATAACCTGGGCTGACTTTTTCTCTGTGATAAGCTCAGCTGACTTTTCCTCTGTGATAAGCTTGGCTGACTTTACCTCTGTGATAACCTGGGCTGACTTTTCCTCTGTGATAAGCTCGGCCGACTTTTCCTCTTTGATAAGCTTGGCTGACTTTTCCTCTTTGATAAGCTCAGCTGATTTTTCCTTCATGATAAGCTTGGCTGGCTTTTCCTCTGGGATAAGCTGGGCTGATTTTTCCTCTTTGATAAGCTGGGCCGACTTTTCCTCTGTGAGAAACTCAGCTGACTTTTCCTCTCTGTTAACCTGGGCTGACTTTTCCTCAGTGATAAGCTTGGCTGACTTTTTCTCTGTGATAAGCTCAGCTGACTTTTCCTCTGTGATAAGCTTGGCTGATTTTTCCTCTTTAATAAGCTTTGCTGACTTTTCCTCTTTGATAAGCTTGGCTGACTTTTCCTCTGGGATAAGCGGGGCTGATTTTTCCTCTGTGATAAGCTGGGCTGATTTTTCCTCTGTGATAAGCTGGGCTGACTTTTCCTCAGTGATAAGCCCAGCTGACTTTTTCTCTGTGATAAGCTTGGCTGACTTTTTCTCTGTGATAAGCTCAGCTGACTTTTCCTCTTTGATAAGCTGGGCTGACTCTTTCTCTGAGATAAGCTCGGCTGACCTTTCCTCTGTCAGAAGCTTGGCTGACTTATCCTCAGTGATAAGATTGGCTGACTTTTCCTCTGTTATAAGCCCGACTGACTTTTCCTCTGTGATAACCTGGGCTGATTTTTCCTCAGTGATAAGATTGGCTGACTTTTCCTCTGGAATAAGCTGGGCTGTCCTTTCCTCAGTGATAAGCTCAGCTGACTTTTCCTCTGTGATAAGCTTTGCTGACTTTTCCTCTGTGTTAACCTGGGCTGACTTTTCCTCTGTGAGAAGCTTGGCTGACTTTTCCTCTATGTTAACCTTGGCTGACTTTTCCTCTGTGATAAGCTTGGTGGACCTTTCCTCTGGGATAAGCTGGGCTGACTTTTCCTCAGTGATAAGCTGGGCTGACTTTTCCTCTGTGATAAGCTCAGCTGTTTTTTCCTCTGTGATAAGCTCAGCTGACTTTTCCTCTGTGATAAGCTCGGGTGACTTTTCCTTTGTGATAAGCTCGGCTGACTTTTCCTTTGTGATAAGCTTGGCTGACTTTACCTCTGTGATAACCTGGGCTGACTTTTCCTCTGTGATAAGCTCGGCCGACTTTTCCTCTGTGATAAGCTTGGCTGACTTTTCCTCTTTGATAAGCTCAGCTGATTTTTCCTTCGTGATAAGCTTGACTGGCTTTTCCTCTGGGATAAGCTGGGCTGACTTTTCCTCTTTGATAAGCTGGGCCGACTTTTCCTCTGTTAGAAGCTCAGCTGACTTTTCCTCTATGTTAACCTGAGCTGACTTTTCCTCAGTGATAAGCTTGGCTGACTTTTTCTCTGTGATAAGCTCAGCTGACTTTTCCTCTGTGATAAGCTTGGCAGATTTTTCCTCTTTGATAAGCTTGGCTGACTTTTCCTCTTTGATAAGCTTGGTTGACTTTTCCTCTGGGATAAGCTTGGCTGGCTTTTCCTCTGGGATAAGCTGGGCTGACTTTTCCTCTTTGATAAGCTGGGCCGACTTTTCCTCTGTTAGAAGCTCAGCTGACTTTTCCTCTATGTTAACCTGAGCTGACTTTTCCTCAGTGATAAGCTTGGCTGACTTTTTCTCTGTGATAAGCTCAGCTGACTTTTCCTCTGTGATAAGCTTGGCTGATTTTTCCTCTTTGATAAGCTTGGCTGACTTTTCCTCTTTGATAAGCTTGGCTGACTTTTCCTCTGGGATAAGTGGGGCTGATTTTTCCTCTGTGATAAGCTGGGCTGATTTTTCCTCTGTGATAAGCTGGGCTGACTTTTCCTCTGTGATAAGCCCAGCTGACTTTTCCTCTGTGATAAGCTTGGCTGACTTTTTCTCTGTGATAAGCTCAGCTGACTTTTCCCCTTTGATAAGCTGGGCTGACTCTTTCTCTGAGATAAGCTCGGCTGACTTTTCCTCTGTTAGAAGCTTGGCTGACTTTTCCTCTGTTATAAGCCCGGCTGACTTTTCCTCTGTGATTACCTGGGCTGATTTTTCCTCAGTGATAAGCTGGACTGACTTTTCCTCAGTGATAAGCTCTGCTGACTTTTCCTCTGTGATAAGCTCAGCTGTTTTTTCCTCTGTGATAAGCTCAGCTGACTTTTCCTCTGTGATAAGCTCGGATGACTTTTCCTTTGTGATAAGCTCGGCTGACTTTTCCTTTGTGATAAGCTTGGCTGACTTTTCCTCTATGATAAACTTGGCTGACTTCCCCTCAGTGATAAGCTTGGCTGACTTTTCCTCTGTGATAAGCTCGGCTGATTTTTCCTCTTTAATAAGCTTGGCTGACTTTTCCTCTTTGATAAGCTTGGCTGACTTTTCTTCTGGGAAAAGCGGGGCTGATTTTTCCTCTGTGATAAGCTGGGCTGATTTTTCCTCTGTGATAAGCTGGGCTGAATTTTCATCTGTGATAAGCACAGCTGACTTTTCATCTGTGATAAGCTTGGCTGACTTTTTCTCTGTGATAAGCTCAGCTGACTTTTCCTCTGTGATAAGCTGTGCTGGCTTTTTCTCTTTGAATACCTGGGCTGACTTTTCCTCTGGGATAAATTGAGCTGACTTTTCCTCTGTGATAAGATTGGCTGACTTTTCCTCTGTTATAAGCTCGGCTGACTTTTCTTCTCTGTTAACCTGGGCTGATTTTTCCTCAGTTATAAGATTGGCTGACTTTTCCTCTGGAATAAGCTTGGCTGACTTTTTCTCTGTGATAAGCTCAACTGACTTTTCCTCTGTGATAAGCTGTGCTGACTTTTCCTCCATGTTAACCTGAGCTGACTTTTCCTCTGTGATAAGCTTGGCTGATTTTTCCTCTTTGTTAACCGTGGCTGACTTTTCCTCAGTGATAAGCTTGGCGAACCTTTCCTCTGGGATAAGCTGGGCTGACTTTTCCTCAGTGATAAGCTCGGCTGACTTTTCCTTTGTGATAAGCTTGGCTGACTTTTCCTCTGTGATAAGCTCGGCTGTTTTTTCCTCTGTGATAATCTTGGCTGACTTTTCCTCTGTGATAAACTTGGCTGACTTTTCTTCTGTGATAAGCTCGGCTGACTTTTCCTCAGTGATAAGTTTGGCCTTCTTTTCTTCTGTGATAAGCTCAGCTGACCTTTCCTCTGTGATAAGCTCAGCTGACTTTTCCTCTGTGATAAGCTGGGCCGACTTCTCTGTGATAAGCTTGGCTGACTTCTCCTCTGTGATAACCTGGGCTGATTTTTCCTCTGTGATAAGCTGGGCTGACTTTTCCTCTGTGATAAGCTTGGCTGACTTTTCCTCTGTGATAAGCTCAGCTGCCTTCTTTTCCTCTGTGATAACCTTGGCTGCCTTCTTATCATCTGTGATAAGTTGGGCTGACTTTTCATCTGTGATAAGCTGGGCTGCCTTTTCCTCTACGATAAGCTGGGCTGACTTCTTTTCTGATGAGATTACTTGTTTATCTGCTTTTCTCAGCTCTGCTATCTTTATCCTTTCAGTGGGAGACTGCTTTTCTGTTAGACCAGCGTTTGTAATTTGTAGGCCCTCTTTAGGAAAATCTCTCTTGTTATATTCATTCATATTGTTTCTTTGTTCTGTTGAAGGTGGTTTGAAGATCTAAAATATAGGTATAGAGATGTAATTTTATTGTCTTGTTTTACTGAATGCAAGAAAATAATCAGTTAAAAGAAATTCAAGAAGGAAAAAATGTCTTTGATAAATTAATATAAACATGTATAACGTACATTTATGCATTTATACATATACTGGTATCTGTATGTAAGAATGAACACTTTACCTCTTGTTTTTTTCTTCTAGAATAGTTTTGTCTTTTTACTGAAGTGTTTGGCAGCTTCTTTGCATCATATCTCTTTTCCCTAAAAAATGAAAAGAGGTTTTTGTACTGCACTAGACACTGAAACTTAAGTTACATTTATGTATTTAATGAAGGACAGCGTGAAATTGATCAATATTGTAAACATTTTTTTGCAATCGTGTTTTTATTATTATATTTTCAAGTCCATAGAATAATGCAATATATGAACTGCTATCCGATTAAGTGGAAGCCACTGTATAAACAAATTGTGGTGCCAGAAATTCAAATTAAAAAGAAAAGATTTTGTTAAAATTGTTTATTTTAAATTTAATTAATTATCTTCAGTCAGATTTTTGTTTAATCCAAGTACAGAGCTATAAATTATTTATAGTACAAAAAAAAAATTCTAATGTAACTGAAATTAAAAGACCGCTACAATAAAATTGAATCAGTACCTGAAGTTGTCTTTCTGTTTTCTTCTGTGAGTCGGCCCAAGTCTGTTTCTCTCCTTTCCTGTTCTCTGTCCCACAGTATTAGCTACCTGTAAATAAAACAAAGGCAAAATTACCCAAAGGCAAACAGTGGTATTTATCATCGAAATCCCCATTGAATAAATTTGAATGAACTAAAATACCTCAGTTCTTCTTTCCTCTTCCTCAACTCTCTCTGCCCATGAATAATCAAACTTTAAAATCTGAAGCTTTGTTCTCTGAAAAGTAAAGAATGAATACTAAGTATCGGTTCATCTACACGGGATTAATAAATTGTAACGGGAGAGGAGAAAATGCAGCGGACCAGGCCCGGGTTCGAATCCCGGTCTGGTCCGCTGCATTTTCTCCTCTCCCGTTACATTTGGAGCCATGCCCTGGAATTGACAGGTGAAAGACCAGCCAGGGATAAGCCTGGGTTGGGGTCTTTGGAGGGCCAAAGACCTTTAAGGAGGGAGGAATGTGGCGGTCAGCCGGGTTCGATCGCCGGTGGCCAGTTAGCTCAGTTGGTAGAGCACCTGACCGGAGTTTCAGGGGGCCTGGGTTCAAATCCCGGTCTGGTCCGCTGCATTTTCTCCTCTCCCGTTACAAATAAAAGGGAAAAGAATTATATTCAGGGTTTTATTAAAATTAAATCGAGAATAATATTAACTCTAAAATCACTTACCCAGTCTTTAACAGGTTCATCGCCAAAATCCATTTCCTCTCTGTGTAGAGAAATACAACGTTTATGTTATTGGTAATCTCAGTATTGACCCTTAGAGTACATATACATGTAATTAAAAAGGATTTAAATATGTCAAAACTATATGATGTGTTGATATTTGATCTGTATTTGACAATCATACCTGATGTTGTCAGTGTTTTTGCTCTTTGTCTGTTCTCCTGTTATCTCTTTATTCAGCACTCTTTCCATGTCTTCTTGTTGCTTTTGGGCCTAAAATATCAAAGTAAATAAAATGACATGCACAATTTCACAGATAACCTTCTTTTCTATTTTTTTTAAAAGAGTGGCGATTTTAAATTTTGTTTTATAATTTTATAACAAGTATGCCAATAAAGAAATCATTTGAATTTCAAAATAAATTTTCTTCCCTAATCTTAATCATAAATTTTGTTACAAATCTACTACATGTGTATGCATTTTATGCCCTATATTCACCTCCATAAGTCTCTCCTGCTCTTCAACGGCATCTGCCCAACTATAACTAAATTTCAAGATCTTTAGCTTTGAGTCCTGAAAAACAATCGATAGTGAATAAACAAACAAATACTCATAAAATTCAAAATTTAAAACGCAGAGGGGTGATTTAATTGATACAAAAAGATTGAATAGCATGAAAAGCAGTACATGTATCAAAACTAACCCACCCCCTTTTTTCTTTAAATTGCTTGTAGATGTACATTTGTTGCAAATGTTGATCCTTTAAGTTTTGAAATCATGTTAATGATAGATGCATTCGACAACCATTTAAAACAAAAATACAAAAAAATATATATATTTCAAAATCTGACAGTTCAGTTACATCTGTGTAAGAACGTTCAACTCACAACATCTTCGACAGCACTATCGCCGAAATCTAAAATCTCGTTCCAATCGATGTCCATAGTTGCTTGCCTTGCTACATGAAGAAACAATTATGATATTTCTCAGAAATTTACGGAAGCGTATTGCTGCCACTTGAAAAAAAAAATATTGTAAGTCGTACGTACGACATAATAAGTCGTACGTACGACATAGTAAGTCGTACGTACGAGATACTAAGTCGTAAGAACGATATACTATGTCGTACGTACGACATACTAAGTCGTACGTACGACATAATAAGTCGTACGTACGACATAATAAGTCGTACGAACGAGATAATAAGTCGTACGTACGACATAATAAGTCGTACGTACGAGATAATATTAAGTCGTACAAACGACATAATAAGTCGTACGTACGACATAATAAGTCGTACGAACGAGATACTATGTCGTACGTACGACATAATAAGTCGTACGAACAAGATACTAAGTCGTACGAACGAGATACTAAGTCGTACGAACGAGATACTAAGTCGTACGTACGACATAATAAGTCGTACGTACGACATAATAAGTCGTACTAACGAGATACTATGTCGTACGTACGACATAATAAGTCGTACGTACGAGATACTAAGTCGTACGAACGAGATACTATGTCGTACGTACGACATAATAAGTCGTACGAACGAGATACTAAGTCGTACGTACCTAACGTACGTACGAGATACTAAGTCGTACGAACGAGATAACATAAACCCCTTGTAGCCATGTGTTTATGTAACTTATACGATATAATATGTAGTTATTCGGTTTTCTTTATAATATCATGAGTAGAAGGGCGTGCCAATAGTTGTGCTTTTGATTACTAAAACGGAACAACCTAAATTTCATATACACATGTAACTTCAATCTTTAAACAGTTAAAAAAAAGTCAATTTTACACTTTGACTAAGAAGTCCTATCCAAAGCAGCCCCCCTCCAGCCCTCAAAGAATCTGATAATTTGATATGTTTTTATCGAAAGAATATTATAAATTTATTAAGCTTTTCAGGGGGTACCGATGTGGGTGAAAAGTACAAAAATCCCGAAAATGAAAAATATTTCTTTAATTATATGGTTTATATTTATGTTTAATGTCCTTTTAATTAGAAAAGCTCGGATGTTTTGAGACTGACATTCAACATTTTTACTGTGGCCTGGTTCGAATCACCCGGTGGCACACGTTTACTTCTATAAAAACAAACTTGTATATTTCACTTCATTTTCCTCTATAAATGATTTATTTTTCTTTAGAGATAAACGACATTTATGAGAATGTAGACCAGAAATATTATTCTCTAAAAATTATCCCACAGTGTAAGCATTCATTGTTTGAGGACAAGAATTATTCATTCTTCCTCACGATGAAGGAGACACACAAAAACCCCCCCCCCCCCCTCAAAAAAAAGAAAAAAAACACAAAACATGAATGACATGCGGTTGATCCTATAGTATCCACCCCCCACCCACCCCCCCCCCCAAAAAAAAAAACCAAACAAACAAACAAACAAACAAAAACAATAAATGCGTGAATAATCTAATACATTTAATCTCGGAAAAGTTTCCAAACGAATAAATTAAAATGAAATCGCAGAAGTAGTAAATGATCATGATGTGAGGGACAGAATATCTTCTAGATTTGATTTTAAGAAGATTATTTATCTATTAAGCGAAGATAAAATTTTTCTAACAGGTTTTACGTATATGATCAGCTTGAAGACCCGGGGCCGTAACAGAAAGCATGCTATTTAGATTTTAAATGACTTTAAGCAAAGTTGCCACCCTAAAATTATTATATACATTGTACATCAGCTGTTAAATTTGATCATTTTCATATGGAGCTCTTCTTCTAAAGGAGAGCAATATTGTCTAAAATGGCCACGACACCCCCCCCCCCCCCCCCGCCCTCTTAAGCAGGGTTGCGCATACAAAGTGCTCACCCAGAAAAATAAAGAAATTAAGATTTCTTGCAGTGACATAGCATCGTTTTTGAAAGGGGAAAGGGGGCAGCCAGATAAAAAAAAAAACTTACCTGAAAAAGTTGACAAGTAAAAAATTGCCCTAACAAGAAAACATTATTTTGGGGAGGGGGGGGTCTTTTTAAAGTTCCAACTTCTTTCAGTACAATTTTCCCCCATATAATACTACATGTACATTACCCTTATTTCACTTTACTGTATCACAAAGTGGGGGAAGGGGCAACCGGCCTTTCAATGCAAATTTTAAACAATAATATTGCTACCTGCCTGTTTTAGGAATATGCATATCTATACATTGTGTCCTAATTATCTACAATTTTTCATGAAATTTTATGCAGCTGTTTAAGAATAATTATGCTTATAAAAAAATAAAGAAATAAAAAAAAAGGACTGACGGACTAACTGACGTGCCAAAGACATTATACCACTCGCAACTTGTTGTTATAAAAGTAATTTATAATTTCTCTCTACATTTAAACACTCTTTCAGACTTTCTAGACGATATCCTTAATAGCCATTTACTCTTGATCATGCCATTTTAAACCCGAAATTAATAAGGCTTTGAAAATATGCAGGGTCACGGGTAGAATAAATATATCATATTGAATAACATCTTTATCCTTCCTAGTCTATAATTTATGAATTGTAATAAACAGTTTTGCAGATAAATATGAAATAAACAATGTAAAATCCCAAGTTTGAATCGGGAGGTGATAAACTTGCTTGATTTGAATTTTCTGCAATCCAACAGACAATTCAAATCAAGCGAGTTTATCGCCTGTAGAAACGAATATAAAGGACTAGAAGGTTGATAAAGTAAACATATTGGTTAAAAAATGTGTTAAGAATTAGGGATAGACCAATGCTGGAAAGTGTGAAAATTCTTCCCAAAAGTGCGTTCAAATCTTGCGCCATAGATTGCCTAATATTTGCATTTAATATATGATCAAAGACTAAAATACAAAACCATAAAGCTGCAGCTACGTTCTGAGTATCTCGTATGTACGACATATTATCTCGTTCGTACGACTTAGTATGTCGTACGTACGACTTAGTATCTCGTTCGTACGACTTATTATGTCGTACGTACGACTTATTATGTCGTACATACGACTAATTATGTCGTACGTACGACTTAGTATCTCGTTCGTACGACTTATTATGTCGTACGTACGACATAGTATCTCGTACGTACGACATAGTATCTCGTTCGTACGACTTAGTATCTCGTACGTACGACTTATTATGTCGTACGTACGACTTAGTATCTCGTTTGTACGACTTATTATGTCGTACGTACGACTTACTATGTCGTACGTACGACATAGTATCTCGTTCGTACGACTTAGTATGTCGTACGTACGACTTATTATGTCGTACGTACGACATAGTATCTCGTTTGTACGACTTAGTATCTCGTACGTACGACTTATTATCTCGTTCGTACGACTTATTATGTCGTACGTACGACTTATTATGTCGTTCGTACGACTTAATATTATGTCGTACGTACGACTTATTATGTCGTTTGTACGACTTATTATGTCGTACGTACG